TCACTTCGACGGCAAATTCAGAAGTCAAACAATGCAGAGCAGATTATTCGGCAAGCATGAATAATCAATCAGATGCATGGCAACAATTCTTTCACGAATGTGTTTTCCAAAAATCATAATATTAGATATTCAGCAAAACAGCTAGAATATCTTGAAAAACGTACTGCTCTCTTTCTTCTAAGCTTTTTTACAGGTGTTTATCAGAATCTTGATAGGTTGTCATCTGATGCACATTCGAAATCCAAGTTATATGAACTTCCAACACTTGGAACTCAAGTCGATGTTAAAGTGTTACCAATGGCTTGGAATACAGCATACCTTCCACGAAAAGATCGTTTCTGTGACTTGGAAAGCTGTGAAGATTCTCAGGAGGTAGGTTGTATTCTTGTTTGTGGACATACTTATCACTATGAATGTTTTTTGTTTAAATTAGGGAGTCAATGCCGTCATTGTATCAAATATCTTACAAGAGGAATTAGATAAAATTGTAAGGATTATCAGAAAACTTTGAATTCGTTTGGTAAGAAACAAGAAAATGAGAACATAGGGGAATTGGATATTGTTGAAACTGGTTTTACTAATATTGATGATGCTGATACTGTCGATGATACCAACATCGATGATGATTCCAATGTCGAAGACGATTCTAATGTCGAAGGTGATTCTGATATAGATGATAATACTAATATTTGCGACGATACTGGTGATACAGATTTTCTTTTAGATGATAATACAGATCTTAATAATATCGATCAAATTCTTGAAAATGCCATAGTTGGTTTAACAAACATGTAATTTGAGTGTAATTGTGAAATAAGTCATGTATTGTGGCATATATTTTTTGATGTGTTATTTTGAGAAACTAGGAATTTATAGCGTTTGGCCTTTTATTTTTAGCGAATTCATAATTTTTTTTTTGGTATGAGTTGAATTTATTAAATATAGATTTTTAATTAAATCGCAATACATTTATTTATTTAATGTAAACTGTTATTTTCCTTAATAATAAATATCGTATTACTACGTATAGTTCTTATCGCATTTTATTCTTATCCATATTTGTTACATTGTTAAATTTAATGTTTTTATTAATTATAATTTTAAGAAAATTTTTACATAATTTTTTACATCACATAATTTATTCCCAACATTTACAATCTCAATACCATCCACTTTTTAACATTCATCCCACATTCACAGGTCACTTCGACGGCAAATTCAGAAGTCAAACAATGCAGAGCAGATTATTCGGCAAGCATGAATAATCAATCAGATGCA